ATGAATTGATGATTGTATTCTAGGTTCAGTGTAGACATCTAGCACAAGTCTAATTGCCGTTTTTTCCAGTATTACTTGGGTGAAACATCCCAAACTTCGTTTGGAAATCAAATCATGTGGAAATATGAATCATTTTATTCCTTTAACATCATCTGGACTTATATGTTTCCATGTTTAACTTCTTGATTTCATCTTGGTTTTTTTTTAAGTTAAACAAAAGATTTTTTTTTTGAAAAATCCAAATTGAACTGGGATTTTTTTTTCTGAATCTGAAAACAGTTGTGGATCAGAAGTGATAACAACTAAATATATTAACTTTTTATCCCACTATAGCGTTATGCTACATACCCTAATTCCTTTGGCGTAGAATATGAAATTTTATACAACTAGGTGTCAATAATGAAATAATTATGTTTGCTAATACTGATAGAAAACTTCCTGAAGAGCCATCAAATGGTCTTATCTAGCATAGTCTTGCACTGTCTTTTCTTGTTTTCTTTTTTTAATTAGTTCTTTGAGAATTGCATACAATGTACTTTGATCATATCCAGCCTCCCACCCCAATCCTCCCAGATCGACCCACCCTTCCCTACCCACCCAATTTGGTGTCCTCTCTCCTTTTTATTTTTAAACTCATTAATCCCAGTTTGTAAAACAGTATTTTCATGACTCTGTAACTCTAGTGATGAATGTTGGGTGAGGTTTATAGCATTGTTGAATCAGTTTAGATTTCCTATAGAAAAGATGGTCTGCGTAGTTGGTAGTTCTTCTGTTCACATTGGTTCAGATGATAAAGTATTAGTAGGGAGAGGACTTAGAGGTGATCTGATACGATGCCTTAAGGAAAGCTTCTTGGGATGGCTGATACTTGTAATTCCTGCACTCACAAGGCCGTGGCAGTAGAATTGTAAGTTAAAAGCAGCTCAAGGTATGTAGACTTTCTCAACAAAGAAAAAGAGGAGAAAAGAACGAAAAAAGAACCTTGCAGCTGTAAGAATAGCAACCTCCTATGTGCCAACATCCACAGTGAGCAAATTTTAGTTTCAGTGTATCATCATATATCACTATTATCCTCTTCCTACATTTAACAGTGGAATAAATGGTGGAGGATTGTGGGTGGATGGGGCTGCTGGTGAAAATCATAGCCCCACCCTGGTGATTAAACTCAGAACTAGCAGAGGTACAAATTGAGATATGAAGCGCAGACTTTAGGGGAATGTCCAGTTTGAACTTCCTGAAACAATGAAGTTTCCTGAGGAAGAAGTTAACTTCTCTGGAACACTGATGGAATACCAGCTGTTCGTAGTGGAGTGGACATAGAGAGAATGTTCAGTATTTGATGAAAGAAGTTTAGGAAAATATTCCTGCCACAGATCCAGAAACACATGCATTTATTTTCCTTTTCTCCAGGGGAAGAGATTGATTAAAAAAAAAAAAAACAACTTTAAAATTAAATGCATCACTTATAAACTTTGAACTAACAGTGTTCCTCAGAGGGAAGTATTTGGTGTGCATTGTTAAATATCAATCATTAGATATCACTTTAGCAGAGGAGCTCAGGCAAGTTGGAACAGCTTTTAAGAAACCAATTACAATGTGAGTTATGAAAGAGAAGTGGAAGAAGCCCAGGGAAAATACTAGAAAATGCAAGTTCTTTCATCCATTGAATTTTTGCAGAGAGTTCTGGCTAACTGGGTTATTCAGACTTAAGACAGCAATAAAAACAGGGCCTTGTTTTAAGGATAAAAGAATTGTTAAAAAGCAGAAGCCGAGATTATTAACATTGCAAAGAATCTTCCTTTTTAATAAGTATTTTCTTCTTGGTACTAAAGTGCTTGATTACATAATAGATAGGAATTAAAAAGAAGCATTGAATTTTTGATGACCTTGTAAAATATATTTAAATTGAGATTCCACAGATTAAATAGAAATATAGGAGCACAGGAGCAGTTTAGGAAATAAAGTACTCTTTTCATGCTCTAGCATGTTGATTATTCAAAGGGATTAGGAAATAATTGTCTTTCATAATTCAGTTTGACTAGTTAATTTTGCTGGTTCTGTTTCAAGATGATATGGAAAATTTGGACAATTTTTTAAAGATTTTGTTTTATTTCTTTAAGAGTGTGTGTGTGTGTGTGTGTGTGTGTGTGTGTGTGTGTGTGTGTGTGTGTGTGTGTGTGTAAGTGCCTGTGAAGGTCAGAAGAGGGTGCCAACCCCCTAAATCTGAAGTTACAGGGGATTGTGAGCCACCTGATGTAGGCACAGGGAATTAAATTTACATCCGAACTCTTTCCAGCTGGGTCATCTCTTTAGGTCCCTCTGAGAGCATTTTGAAAGCATGAAATGTTAAAACTTAAAAGATGTAGTTAAACCTCAGTTGTTCTCATATGTAAAGGAAGGAAGTATGAATATTTGAGTCATGACTAAGCCATGTGAAAGGAAGGAGTGATACTTTCCACCCGAGCGTCAGAACGCAGGGAGCAATGTCTACCAACAGAACTACAAACAACAGCAGGCCTGTAGTTAGAAACAGTATCATTTTTTTTTCTCATAATAATGCTATTAGCAGAAGAGTCAATGAAGACTACAGTGCACCATTAACCAACAACAGCTAATGGACACTTTCAGAACAGCCCCACAGCCGCAGCTAAAGTATACACTGAACATTCTCCAAAGCAGACTATATTCTGGGTGATAAAAATCATGGCAAAAATTTTAAGATGATTAAAATATAAAGATTATCCACAATGGGTAAATTAAATGTCATATTCGTAACTAACTCATGTTGAAAGAAGCAAACCAGACAAAGCTAAAAGTATTTAACTGTATCAAAATAAAAACACAGCCTTTTGAATTTTGTGGTATCAACTTCAATGAAACTGAAAAATATACCATCCAGCAATTTCATTTCTAGGAAATTCAAGTATGAACAAGCCTTTTTGTAGCAATACATCTGTCCCATGACTTGCTTATAGTAGGAAAAAAATCCTGACTTAACCTTAAGGGTGGATAATAGAGAGTGTAAATTAAACTATGATATATAAATATATAGATGATGATGACACTGATGGTTATGGTGATAAGTGATGATGGAGAAAATACTCTTGCATACAGTAATTTTAGGAAAAGCAAGAGGTTGGTGGAGATGTGTAATAGAGCCTATGTTCTATTACATATATCGTACATAATTCATATACAATGACTTGAGGAATGAGAGGGGAGCAAGGATCCATTTATGTAAGTGTTCATAAGTGTGTGTGCATATACTTTTTATTTTGACCTTCATTTACATTTATGTGTAGTATATGTGCTCAAAAAAAAAAAAAAAAAAGACCTGAGTAAGGTCCAGAAATGGCAGTGAATTCTTCAGATAGTCATGTTTCATGAGGCCTTTCTGCATGAAGAACTGTATTTCAGACATCTCCGTAGACCACCTCACCTACAGTTGTTTGATGTGGAATCTTTGGCAACATTCTTGATTCTTCTCTCCAGACATCAGTTGTCTTTAGCCAGTCTTTTTCCCCACTGTGTGTTTTAGATGATGCCCACCTTCTTGTCATCCTTCGCTTTACAAAATTTTTGTTGTCTTCCAATGATATTTAAGAAATTTAATGTTGGAAGAACAAGATGGCTCAATAGGTTGAGACCTTTGTGTTCAGGCCTAACAATATGAGTCCAATCCCCAGATTCCACAAAGATAGAAGATGAATACTGACTCCAGAGATTTATCTTCCAATCTCTATAAACAGCATCAAATGTTTGGATATGTGTGTGCACACACAAATTAATTTAAAAAATAAAATCCTCAGCTGGGCGGTGGTGGCGCATGCCCTTAATCCCAGCACTCGGGAGGCAGAGGCAGGCGGATCTCTGTGAGTCTGAGGCCAGCCTGGTCTACAAAGCGAGTTCCAGGAAAGGCACAAAGCTACACAGAGAAACCCTGTCTCGAAAAACCAAAAATAAATAAATATAAAAAATAAAATCCTCAAGCCATAAATGTAGCCTCTGCCCTCTCTTAGACTTCACTGTAAAGACTTCCCCAGGTTTAGAATGCTGTAACCACAAGGTCTTCTTCCTCTTCCTCAGCTTTTTCTGAATCACCCCATCCTCCCTGCTTCTACCCGTGGCCTTTCACCTGGTGTCTTCATTGATCTATACTCAAATAGTTACTTGAACATCTCCTCCAAGGGATATCTTTTTTACTTCAATTCCATCTTCTTCTTTCTGTTATTTACTGATCTTAGAGTATTTATCATGCTTCTAATTACACCATGTTTCATGTAGTTTATTTGTTTAATGAATGCCTCTATCCTTTGGAAACCCAAAAGTTTCTTGACCATATGTCCCAATATCTTATTTGTTCCTGGCTCAGCACATAGTACATTCTACCCCCAATTATTGTTGAATTAATGGGGGAGGGAGTAAAGAGCATAGTAAATAGCTTTTGAAGAATCATAAAAATTGCAATTTTACTACTTATTTAAGTATATCCAAGTACCTATTTTTAATCTATTTGAATAGTGATAAAGTTGACATCTAATAGTTAAGGACGACACATTTATGCAGTTAAGGGACCCATTATGTATATTTTTAGTTAGATATTTGTTGGATGTGTAAGATTATGTTAATGTAAACATACAGAAAGCTGTCTTATAAAATGCATTTTAAACATCAAATTGTTTTATTGACTCACTATTTCCACCTAAGAATTTGTCATAAGGAGTAGACCTAAATACGGAAAAGGTTGCATATTTAAAGGTATTTCTCTCAGTGTTGCTTATGGGTACAATCTAAATGCCAAGGAGTAAAGCATAGTGTGCCCACTGGATAGTGCTTGAGTAACACTTATTTTCTTCAATGATTGTCATCAGTAACCTCTGCATATGTTATGTATGTGTGCTTGTATATTACAGTCCAGTTTCACGGTCAGTACATTTACATGACTCTCTTTCTATGTATTTTGTGATTATGGAACTGAAGTGAGGTGCTTTTTTTCTCAGGATGACAGACCCTTTGCTGAAGGTTCCCACTCTCATGGCCTAGATCACTCATCCTCTTGGCAAGATCGCAGTTTCTTCCTGTCTAGTCCACGGTATTCACACTTCAACTGTGAGTAATAAAGTCTTTACCAGTTATTAAATTGGATTTTTAAAAGTATAACTCATGGGGAAATTAAAGTTTAAGGCCAGTAATATTCATGGTAAAGTTTAAGAAATTTTTCATTATGAATTATAGAAAAAAGTCCCCCAAGAGTACCTCTGATGGTACCCAACTCACTGAAGAACATGAATTCCTTTTTAGACTTCTGTAGATGTAACCAATCGTCTTATTAAAATAAGAAACACAGAGCCAATGTAAAAGAGAAAGCCGAGAGGTCAGAGCTCAGAGATAAAATCTTACCTCCTGCAGTGCTCCTAACTTCCCCGAGAGAGAGCTACTTCCTGTTTGTCTGTGTTCAAATAGTCTTTCTGTTCTGTCTTCTCATTGGTTGTAAACCCAACCACATGACTGCCTTATCACTGCCTGTAAGTACCGCCCTCCAGGTCTTAAAGGTGTATGTCTCCAATACTGGCTGTATCCCTGAACACACAGAAATCTACCTAGCTCTTCTAACCACCACACTCTTGCTATGGCTCTAATAGCTCTGACTCCAGGGCAACTTTATTTATTAACATAAAATTAAAATCACATTTCAGTACAAATAAAATATCACCATAGACTTCAAACTTTTTAAAGAAAACTTAAAGTAAATCATCCAAAGTAAATTGTCAATTAAACCTTTTTTTTTTTTTTGAGACAGGGTTTCTCTGTGTAATTTTGGTGCCTGTCCTGAATCTTTCTCTGTAGACCAGGCTGGCCTCAAACTCACAGAGATCCACCTGGCTCTGCCTCCCCAGGGCTGGGATTAAAGGCGTGCGCCACCACCGCCTGGCCAATTAAACCAATTTTTGGTTTAAGGATTATTAACTGTAGATGAGCAGATAAAGTTATTTTGTAATAAAGTAGAAATCATCAGAAGGGGAAGATTTTTGCATGTAACTATTCAGAAATATTTCTTTGTACAAAGCGTAAGAATACATACATGACCACACACTGAATGTCACTGTTGACACCTGTGACAACAGTAAGATGTCATGGATCCAGTTATCACATGCATTCCCTCCTCTTCCCTTCTCCAGTGGGCTCTTCCACAGGGTTCAGCAACTATGCATCATGCTTGAAGGCATCAGTGCTGTGCTTTTAAAAGTGTTTTCTGTTTTAAACACCCAGAACTCAATACAAATTTTTAATAAATCTTAGAATAGCAAATATATATATATATAAATTAAAGGACTTTTTATTTACTGATTTTTTTTATCCCCTCCACCACAGGCTGAACTCAATGAAAATATGAGTGAAGCTGGCTTTGCTCACCATTGTTTCCTTAGCTCTCCACATAATTCTTGGCACATATTAAAAGCCCAATTAATATTCAATTAAATTAGGTAAATGAATATACAAGTCCTTTTTTGAAGTCTACTTTTATCTAAGCCATCGGGATTCAAATATTATTTAATAGATTCTAATTTGCATAATAATTTAGTTCTTCAATTTATCATGGGCCTGGAGGGTTATACATTAAATTTGATAATTCTGTCATTTAAAATAGCTAGCCTGCTATAAAATAAAATATCAAAATAAGTCTTTAAGAAGTAGGTCAAATCCAAAGGTGATATCTCTCATTTTTGCTTATTTATATTCATGGATTCATTTAATAAATATTTATCAGTTTCTGACAAATGGTTTGGTTTTTGTTATATCATGATTATTTTATTCCAAAAGCTAAGCATTTTCTCTTTCTCATCTTAATCATTTTACCAAGTGATTTTGTATCCATATAAACCCTCTGCTTTTCTGAGGTTGCATCCACTCTTCAATAAAGATTTCATCTCAAGTTGGATATGGTGTCACAGAATCTGGTGTATATACATGCCAGAATTTGTGTCTTTCATATTAAGTAATATAAAAATTTCCTCAGGTTACATGGACCAGGAAGCCAGCTAAAACATTAGAAGTCCGGCCTGCTGGTCCACTGAAAAGCCTTGAGATAGCAGAGCCATGTTTCTACTGCTACTTAATTTTGCTTCAATGACTCCTAAAAGGAAGTGGTTAGAAAATGTGAAGTAGGAAATATCAAGGTTGTTGGAATTATATTTAATATTATAATAGACATTCAAAGAGACTATATTTAGCTTTTGATTGTACCATCTTGTAACCAGCCTTGATCATTTTTCTAATTAAGATATATTCCTTATAAGCAGACATTTGTATTCAAATGTAGTGGTTGAAAAGTAAATAAAATTAATAGGGATAGGAAAAGTTATCATTGTAACATAGTCTAAATGAAGAAATCCTTGTCACTGCTTATATCACAGGATATAAAAATTTTAGAGCCAGGCGGTGGTGGCGCACGCCTTTAATCCCAGCACTCGGGAGGCAGAGCCAGGAGGATCTCTGTGAGTTCGAGGCCAGCCTGGGCTACCAAGTGAGTCCCAGGAAAGGCACAAAGCTACACAGAGAAACCCTGTCTCGAAAAACCAAAAAAAAAAAAAAAATTTTTAATTAAATTCCTCCATTGATTAATCCAGCCTTATGTTTTTTATTGACAAGGTTGTATTTATGATTTTCTTGCCAAGGTTGTCCCCATCTTCTCAATACTTTTCAAAATTTAGTTAACACTATCTGGTTACTTCTGTTTTTGTAGCAGACTAATTCCACTTAGAGAAACCATCTTCTCACCTCTCCTTTTACTGAACCCCCAAATTCAGAAATACCGCGCCCAGCAGAGGGAAGAGCAGAACTGGTGTCGAATGAGGTCATTAGAGGAGGTGTCCTCAGACACTGAAGCCACCGACTGGGAAGAGGGAATAGAGGGCAAAGGGTCTCAGGGTTAGAAAATACTCTTGACATGAAGAGGAAAGAAACCAGACAAGTGGGAAGTCAAACTGGGAAAACGCGAAGTAAATTAAGTGGGGCCGGGGAAGAACGGGACAATAGAGAAAATGGGGGTTTTAGAAAACCAAGGACTGGCAAGACGGTCCGAGTGGTTCAAGGCACTTGCCGCCAATCCTGATGACCTGAGTTCAGTCAGGTGGTGGAGGAGAAGACCAGCTCCTGCAAGGTTTCCTCTGACCTCTATGTGCATGCATACTGTAGCACACATGTTGTATATCCCCTTCTCCCCACACACACACAAATAAATTTAATAAAAAATGTTTTGATCAATTCAGGAGGGACAGCAAGATGGTTAGATAGGTAAGTGTTCTTGCTTCAAGCCTGATGTCCTGAGTTTAGTCCCTCGGGCCCACATGATGAATAGAAAGAACAGATGTTCACAAGTTGTCCACTGACCTCCACATGCATACCATGACACGTGTGTAACTACAAACACGTTCTCTCTCTCTCTCTCTCTCTCTCTCTCTCTCTCTCTCTCTCTCTCTCTCTCTCC